TGGCTTCTGACTCAAGGAGGATTAACGAGACATTAAGCATAATTGCTGGCATTGCCGACATTCTAGGCATAGCAGACTGCATAGTTCGCCGCTGTGGCTTGTGGACACTCGAAGCTCCTTGCTGACTGTGTCCAGAAGCTTCTGTGCAGTATGATGGGGGTGGACACTCGAATGCTCCCTCGAATTTTGCATTTCTGGAGTTTCCATCCCTTTTGCATGTTTTTTGGGTGTGTGCTGGATACCTGCACGGTCAGAGAATGTGGCCTTGGAAAAAGATGCATCGTTTTTTGGGCGCGCGAATTTTCTTTATGGCTGCAATACGACTTGTTTGACGCGTGCTTGCTTGATGCGTTCGATTTGTGCCGTATTGCGCACTCCAATGCTAAAGGTGTGATTGGTCAGCGCCCATTGCTTAATTGATTGTGGTTCACATACTGCTGCCAACGCTCATTGGTCCAACTTGTAATTGAACTTGCTGAAATATGCGCTTGCTTGCTGCCTGTGGCTCACATACTGCTGTCAAACGCTGTCAAGGTCTAACCTGCACTGTACTTGAACTTGCTACTGCTGGCTGCGCACTGTTCTGTTAGGAAGCTCCGTGATTTGGATTATTGATACTAGAATAGCGTTGATTTTTTTTGGTATGATGTTTTGACTTTTTCCCCACATTGATGTGTGGGGTTTTTGTTTTTAGTGTGATATCCGCCCCTCCTCCCTTCCTTCCTCCTCCTCGCTCCCCACCTAACTAATTGCCCACCAATTGCTACCCGCCAAATGTCACCAACCAATTGTCACCAATTGCCACCAACCAACTGCCACCAGCCAATTGTCACCAACTAGTTGTCACCAACCAATTGTCATCAACCGGTCGTCGTCAACCAATGTCATCAACCCATTGTCATCAACCAATTGTCACCGACCAATTGCCACCAACCAATTGGCACCCACCAATTGCCACCAACCAACCTCCAACTAATTGTCACCAACCAATTGTCACCAACCAATTTTGCCAACCAAGCGCCACCTACCAATTGTCAACAACCAAGTTCCACCAACCAATTGCCACCAACAAATTTCTGGCATTTGCGTCTGCGCTGCTGTGATTTGCGTGGCAGGCGCCATCACAGGAGTGACGTAGTGCGACGGCTTAACTTTAAACCTCTTGAGCACTGCTCTTGCCCAGGACACCACGAGATGCCGACTTCAAGCTTGGCGCATTGCTATCCTCGACGTATACATACGTAATCCATCACCTACGCACTCCACCACCATTCACATACACCCACCTGTTCACATACACAAGCGGACGTGAGAGAGGCAAACAATCAACTTGCAACCAACAACCACCAACCAACAACCACCATCCCCATCCACTTCCAAACAACAACCACCAACCAACCTCCACTCGCTCACTCTCCTCCATCCTCTAACCCCTCCCCTCGACGCTTCTCCTTCTTCTCACTGCAGAGATTGTCTCTTGCTAAGTTGTTAACATGTGGGGTTATCCGGTCCTATAATAGGCGTGTAACCAGGTTTCTTTAGTCGCGTGCCTGCCAATTCTTACGCCCACAAGGGGCACCCACCAAAGGAGTGTGATCGATTGGCGCGTGGCAAATTCGATCAGGGAGAGCCGATACGGCCAAGTGTGTGTGTGTGTGTGTGGGTGTCACCTCCCGTTCCAAGGGAGCATGACCACATTGATTGTTTCCGCCTGGTAGGAACCTTTGATTCCAACTATGTACAGATCCGCAGTGGGTCGCTGGGGATTTGTGCAGTCAGCGGCCAACGAAGACGCTGCACGTTTCCTGTGAAAACGTACCTGCCGTGGGGCACCTGGGCGCTTTGTAAGTCGCAGCTGGTGACCACATCTTTTGCTTCCTTTTCTTCTGAAATGTTGCCCAAGCTTTTACACAACTTTTCCATAAAGGGCTGGCGCGTGATGATAAACATTTTGGTTCTGCCGACTCTCTCGCCTTTCTGTTCCCTTAGTCAACCAAGGTCTAATTGCGCGTAAAGGTCTACTTGCAGTAACACTGGAGTTACCAAAGTGATAGAGCTCTTGCGGGCATGGATCTAGTGCGTTTGTGTATGTGTGTTTGTGTGTCTGCTTGCGATTCCTGTATCAATGCCGATGGGTCGGAGTATTTGACTGGAAGCTGCCAACCGCTTTGCTGTGTTGCCTACAGTTGCATCACTAGGCCAGTTCATCAGTTCTAGCCTGAAGCAGCCGAGGTCGCAAGGGCAAGCAATTGTTTTTGGAAGGGGGTTGTGCTCCGGCTTTTGCTAAAGGCTAAAGTATGCTAAAGTATCCGGGAGAAGGACTAGGATGCGCATGTTGAAGGATGTTGCCGCCATTCGGCTCACACAGAAGACATGGAAAACACAGATGCGCTTGGTAAATGAGGACGCAACAAACGAGATGCCAAGGCTTCCTTCCTAGCAGTGTTTTTTCGGCTTCACTGCTTGATGCAACTCTGAACAACTTACCACAAAAATGGACTTCAGGCATTGACCGGTGATCTCGAAAAGGTGTTGAAATGATGACTTTGGTTCATCTCAGTTCGTTCCTTTGTCAGGCTTAGCTGTTCTGTAGGTTCCAGCTCCAAAAACTCAGATCTCGTTCTGGTTTGGGGGATCAAACCTTGATACAACCTCCCATTTGCCGTTCGCCATGATTTGGCGATGCTTTCTTTGGCTGCTTCCATGGCAGCTCTCAGCAGAGACCAGCCTGCAGTATGTCAGGACATGTGCTTGTGATGTGACAGGCCAGGGTGTTTCGAGAGACTGCTCCGTGAATGGATTTGCCCTAGGAGATTCTTGGAAGCCTTTGATAACCATGTGATGTGAACTATTGCTTGCAGGATTCTAGGAGAAGATCTTGACGATTTTCTCCAGCCTGAGAGGTGCCAAGGCTGGCGGCCCAGAATGAAAGACATTACCAGACACAGACAAGACACAGACTGTACTTTGTTGTGTGGGGCTGGTTGCATTGATGGTGATTTCTGTTCGGGGGCTGGGTCTTGTCATTGTTTTAGCACAAGTGGCGGCGTGGCCAGCAGGCCCGGAATTGGTGCTCTTCACCCACGAGAATGATGCCCATCAAGTGCGGCAAAGCTGCTCGCAAGAAAGCACACCTGGCACATCCTGGCACTATATAACAACATGGGAATCAACATAGAGCCGGGTCGCCCTGTTTCTTGCAAAACGCCCATCCTGGATCAAGCCCCCGCCAGTGTGGGGGTGACACAAGTTCAGTAGGTTTGAGCTGGCACTGTCGTGCTTTCAGCAATCCTAGGTTTCCATGGGTTGTTTCCACAAACATCTTGAAACAACACGGAAGGACTATGAAGGGGTAGCAAGGGGAAAACAACCTCCATTCGGGAGGTATGCGCCTCCAGTCTAGGCTAAGCCGGTTCGCATGCGTTTTTTTGCTAAGGGGTACCCGCTCACGCCCCCGCAGAGAAAACTGAGAAAACATATGTGTTCCGATGTTTAAGTTCTTACAGCGCCTTTGGTAGAGCAATTTGGCCATCAGACCCGGGAAAAATTGTTAAACACCAAAAAACGCGTTGTACCATTTTGCCGCGCCTTTGGCAGAGCAACTAGCTTGGATAGTTTGCTGAGGATTCCCAATAATCCTTCACGGGAGGCTTAAATACAGCCAGTAGGAACAGTGTTTGCATGATAAGGATGAAGGATTTGATTCCTTCAGCCTTCCCTATCATGTCCGAAAGGCTTTGATGTTGATTGAATGCAGCGGATGGTTTGAACATGTTTGAACCAGCTGGTTTGCTAGGGCATGGTTCCATGCAATGTGGCATGATTAGTCACTTTGGTCTTCTGGGCGGGCTTAGATTCCAATTGAGATCAGCCTGACGTCCCAGGCTTCGAGGATGCGGCCAAAGAAATTTCTGGTTTGGCGTGTCGCATGGCATTGAGGGCATGTTTGGCCCAAGTGGAGCAGCATCCTTTTTGTTTTCAACATACAGGTCCAAACATTGACATGATTAATGATAGTGTGTATATATATAGGTATGTGAACTTGAGCCAGAAGTTACGCTTAAGCTTAGGTCACTTGCTTTGAAGTGCTAGGCATCCAAAGCCCCAAGATGAGTTGCAGAGCAATCAAGTCTTGGTGGAATGATGCAGAAGCTAAGCTCCAGCATTCTCGAGCTAAAGGTGTTAAAGTCCATTCAATAGGACGCTTACCAGGAGCAAGGGCATTACTATGTACTATATAGTAACAAGAAGCTGCTAGGTTGGAGGTCATGGCTATTTGGTTGGAGGCCATCGCTCCAGCATTCTCCAGCTAAAGTGTTTTAATACGTTTCTGCTGCCCAGGTCTAGGCATTTTGGAGTGCAGTACTTGGCCCATTGCATGCCGAACCCAAAATGTCCGACGGACACCTGCTGTGATGCTGTATCCGACTGGAAATCGCAGCTTGGCCCACGTTGTTCTTTGTTGTTGTTTTGTCCCTTGGAGGTGATGATGAAAGGCAATGTTTTTGTGTTCAAAGATGTTCACGGTGCTTTCTGAAGTGTAAAACATTAAAGCAACACGCTTCGCATCGTACTATTAGTTTATAGTTCCAGCCAACGTTGCCCTATCTCTAAACCACCAGCTCGTCAAAGCCAAGTGAGATGTATTGCAAACGATGCTTGCAAGGCCCCACAACACTAACGTAGAAGGTTTGGGTACATCGAACATTTCTTTTGTCAGGGGGGCTCAAAAAGGAAAGCCTCCGAAGTTCTCTCACCATCCTGCGC